ACAACGATGGACCAACAAACAACAGCAGTAACAACGATGGACCAACAAACAACAGCAACAACAACGATGGACCAACAAACAACAGCAACAACAACAAAAGACCAAGGCTCGACCAGAGCACGACAAACAATTATAAACCTGAAAACAAGAAAACAAAGTTGAACGCCATCATTAATCATCGAATTGTGGCTTATGTTCCTGATCAGAAAAGCGTTGCAGCCGTTGGAATTGTACATGGAGATAGAAAAGCGCTCCATGGGCACTGTATTTCTCAAGATTGTGTGTGCGTAGAAATTACTTACGTACTCAAGAAAGAAATTCGTGCACCAATCGTTCTTGGAGATCCCGAGGAGAACTCTGTATTGTCCCTTGGCCGTTTCTTTGCATTTCCCAAAAAATACCTATACGTCTATGAGAGCCCGAAAAGCCCACTGCGATCCTACCTTTCATGTTACGAGTGAAAATATTTTATTATTTATAATATTAGTAAGTCTCCGATTTCTACTTAACTCCAGCATCGTCGTAAAGATAGAATTTAATGATTGTTCTACAACAACGCTTTATGCGTTTCTGACAAGTTTCGGCTGCACGTTGACTTATTCAAAAGATGTACTATAGAATTATATTAACCCCTCTAGTCGGATAATGTTAGGAAATTGAAATGTATTTTTTTATTTAATAATTTCACTACATAGTTAAACAGGTATGAGAAATTACAGGAAACTCTGCCATTGATTTGCCAGTTCAGCGTACCACCAAAAAGATCAAAAACAGATTGACAACCTTTTCAAGACAGCTAATAAATTTAGTCACACCCACAAAACAATAACAATTGCTGAACTTTTAAGAAAATACGGCTCAGTTCTTTGAACATTCATATCTGATAAACAAAATCACATGAATAATTGACTTACTGAGGTGAAGCCATAACCATGTCCTTCCGCGTATTGGTACGAAAAGCTTTTTTCATAAATTCAATGTCTCTTTAAATATTATACAGTCATATTATACGGCTGTTTACAGTAGAGGGCTTTCATTACATCCGTGAAACACTTTTTAAGAAATTGCACATTATTTTGTACTAATTTGCACAATTTTGTTATAACAAAGTGTTTCACGGGTATAATGAAAGCACTCTAATTATATAGATTTATTTGTAATTTGTATATATGTTGTCGTTTAGGTTTTAATATGATTTTTTAAAACCAGCTAAATTTCCTTCTCTATCACCCTCCCCCATTATAAATATGATTAATTATATCAACAAAGCTCAAGATTGTTCGCATTAAATAATTTTTTTAACAATTCGAACCAAAACCCCCAAGTGATGGTGACCAAGAGGGAGCTGTGGATGAGGGTGTGTGGATAGTAGTTGTTTTGTGAGTTTAATATAGAGGATACTCGCCGGTGAAGTATGTGTGTAAGTATTGTGTTGTATGCCTCTATTTCTCATACAACCATGTTGGCGAGGAATTGTCGTCTCAGTGGAATCACTGGAACATGCAGCGACCGAGTAAATTTGTCGTGCTTGACTTCTAGTTGGGGAGTGTTTGTTGATGATGATGGAAGGACGGTCGATGTTGAAGTTGACGCAGATGAGGCTTGGTCAGGAATGATTAGATGGTGGTCGTCCAATAGATGTTGATGGAATGGATGGAGGGTTGATCGATGGCTGGTTAGCAGATGTTATAGTGGTTAGATATTCCGAATTGGCAAGCTCAGATAGGATAAGGTTTGCAGCTTTCTTTGCATTGCTGGTCAGATCGTACCATCGCTCGGCAGTTTTCCGCGAATGCTTCACCAGAACTGCCAAGTCAGCCCCAAGTCCCTCTTCTCATCGGCAGTCTTGCCAGTCATCTCCAGGTGACTCATCCACATTTTTCTAAGGGACAACAGTCAAGACACACGGCCTTTAAGTCTGGCACCAGTGTAAGCTACACTTTACACAATGCTTAACCGTTAGGTACGCGTCTGGCCCTCTTTTCTATCAGAGTTTCTGTGTATGTACTCACTGGCACCGGAACGAGAACAAAATATAATAAGAAGAAAAGAAAGACCACTGGCTACGTAAATGAAGCGTGATGCTATATATCGCTCCAGGGGACTCCCTTATGAGAGGGCGGGGTCCTCGTAATCTCAATAAAAACATTAAAAATTCCTGCCGTAACCGTTTTGTAACTATTGAAAGCCGCCACTCACACGAAAATGACTCTATACTAATGGATGTTCCGACAGCTTGAAAAACACGAGATATAGTTTCCGTGAATGAGTTATGTAATGAAGCACAACGAGAAACATGTAAATACCAATGTCATTGACAACACTTTTTACTGACATTTATTTTATATATGAATGGTATCGTGAATATCGTTTTTCGTCACAACTCAATCATCTAGTGCTGAATTCAGTATCGATATTATATATCAAGATATATATTGTCCCTAATGCCCTTTCACTGACACCCTAGCGATTTCATTTTGATTTGTATCATTGTCCGTTGTTTCGTGTTGCAAACGGGAACATAAAAAAGGAAATACGAGATGGTTCTGTTATTATTAATAGTGTCAAGAAAACAAATAACTATTATATATA